CACATTGATACGAGGCGCGACCACGAGGTTGCCGGTAATTACACGACGCAACCTCGACGAAACACGCTCTCGCGGGGTAATGGAGGACGGGGGAATGAGAGGGGAGAAAGTATTTCTCGCGCGAGAGAGAGAGTCGCGTCGAAAATCGCTCGCGGGCAAAACGGGAACGCGGAAGATGTACTCGAGACGCATTTTCCATTTTGACGTAATACGAGCGCAACGACACTCTTGAATTTTATCTCGGTCGGGTGTGCAACGTCAAAGGGGCCGTGAGGGTTGTTTTTCGTGCCGCGAAACATTTATCGTATTGCGTTGTGGCATCGAGCGCGCGCGCTTTTGACGATACACACATATCTCGTTTATAGAAACCGCCTATCGTGCAGGGGCCGCGTTATCTGCGCCGCATCGAAATTTAGCTTCAACTGTGTGTAATTCCTCGTTGCACACGTCGTTTCCATTTGCCGTAATTAACTAATATACATATATATATATATATATATACATACATATATATCGCTGCTCAATGAAATTGATGTAAATCAAGTAAATCTCACGGCTCATTGATACTTTGCGATTGCAAATGCACTTTACATGTCGCACCAAGTAATTTGCCATTCTTATCTTAGGATTGTTTTATTACGCGGAGAAAATACAAGTTTCTTTTTCTCTCGATGTAATCGAGAAAGGCGCCTTTCGCGCGTGTGTGCAGGTCGAGAACAAGAGTGCGACAATGGAGTTATTGATAAAAAAAAAAAAAAAAAATTTGTGCGGAAAACCTTCTGCAAATAACAGTGTTATTTTTTCCTCTCTCTCTCTCTCTTTCGGTGCAACAATGGCTTCGCATGGTGATTCAGATATTATTTGTATTCATAGTTCTGCGAACGCGGCGGAATAGTTTTTTTTCTGGAAATATGCAACTCGAATTGGGTTATATGTGATTAATATAATACTTTATTTATTTACGCGCTCTCGTCTCTATGTGTTTCTTTTTTTCCGTCCCAGCGAAATTATTATTCGTTCGACGATGTAATAATGTATTGGGACGCGCGTACAACGGAGATTCGCGTTTTTAATATTTTTAACTCGTGTTAAACGCGTCTCCGCGGAAAACAAAATCCCGCGGCGTCGACGTCATTCTCGAGTCGTCGAATTACTCGCGGGATGATTCCATTTCGTTGCGTCAGCAACGTTTCACGTTAAACTCAACTCGCTGAGACGTCAATTGACACCGCACGAAGACTCAGCACACGCGCGAAGAATCAGTTCGCGCTTACACGTTGCAAGCAATTCTCGTCGCGAAGAAGTGACAAATCATTAGCTTCGCGAATTCATCATCAGCCGGCGATGTTATCGATTCGCGCGTACGGTTGTTGATTTTTTTATCTTGTCACAAACAGTTGATGCATATTATCCCGTCGCGATCGATAGGAATTTTATTCCGGGAGAAGAAAACTGTCTATCGATACACAACATCCAGGACAACATAATAGACGGTTATAGCAACGCGCGCACGTTTTCACGTCACGGGTTTTCAAATTGACGATAATTGAAAATCGGTCCGACTGAAAAGAGCGGTCGAATGTCAATTTCGATTCCAGCTATCGTCGCGATTCTCCCCCTCTCCTCTCCTGCCAATTAGTCCTTGTTAACTGACAATTATGTGACCCGCTGCGCCGATCGAACGTTATGTACCGGACGATCGAGATATAATATCGATCTTCGCGACGATACGATCGCGATCGGTCGGCCGATCGCTGACGAAGGTCAGCGCCGGTTGTCTCGTTCGTGTAATGTTCGCGAAGATCGTGACGTTTCGATTCTTCGGGGATCGCCGTTCGGAACGTCGATTTTTCAGCACGACAAGAAAACCATTGTATCTCACGATAGAGAGAGAGAGAGAGAAAGAAGATAGAAAGCTTCATCTCTCGGGCGCGGTTCTCGCGCGCCTTTCATCTTCATTAAGAATTTACGACAATGCGCACCGACCGGTTGATTTATCGAAGATGAGGATTAGTTTGACGTGTTATTTGAAGAGAGATTTATCTTCTTTTACGATTCTAGCGCGATCCAAGACTCCGCGCGCGCACGCGCGGATCTTTAATTACGTGATATATGCTCGGCGCGAGGTCGCGAACAAGACGAACCTCGTGTCGAACAAACGTGAAATGTCATATCGTTTCGTGCGATTTGTAATTGCCAGATCACCTGTAAATGTAGATCGCGGGTCTCGCTTTTCTAGGCCACGACAAACTCTGTGCTCGCATTAATGTTACAGTGCTCGGGAAAAGTGTTTCGCATACATCTCGGCCATGGAAGTCGCTACTTTCGATTTTCCGCGGAATCGCAGCCGCGTGTGACCTTAACAGCCACTCGATATATCTGTGATCGATCTCGAGAAAGATAGAGAGAAGAGAGAGAGAGAGAATGAAAAAAAAAAAGCAGTCGTCCTTAGGATTCAGTCAGCGTGTTGCGCCTTTATTGTCCTTTCTCCGCGAAGGTGCGTCAAGTTCGGTAAGTTAACACTCGGACGCGCGTTGATTTATCTAATTGCGACGCGTTCGATTCTATCTGGGACGCAACGGAATATAATATGACGCGTTACGCGAATGACAATTGCATTCGTCGACATTTAAGTTGATACGAGCGTATATATTAACCGCACAGTGCAAACAAGTAAATATTGCCTGACGAGGTATTACGCGTCGCTTGCGTCTGCGTGTGTGCGTGGCCCGGTGTAATTCCGTCTTGATTAATAGATTAATCAATTAAACGGTTAATTAAGCCAACTCGCATCTAGCTATATTCCAATATCGCTAATATTATCGAGAGCTGATTAATGGCAAACGCGGCGCATATTATGGCACGAACTTAACACACAGTCGCATTCGAGTTCAATCAGTGCCTGTGTGTTATTATGTGTGTAGCGTAAACTCGGATATATCTAACATTGCGCCCTTTCCCGCGCCTCTTCTCTCTCGGGCGAGAGAACAAAGCGGGTTACCTACGCATCGCGCGCGATGTCGAATTGCAAATAATTGCGAATTCGCGCGAGACAATTAGATAATTTCGTCGAACTTGTGTGAATTTTTTTACACAAGAAAGGGAAAGACAAATTTTCGTTAATGCGTATTTTTGCGAATCTCGCAGCAAAAACTCGAATTATTTCGGAGCGAGTGTAAACAGAATTGTAAATCGTCGTCGCGTCCTTGATTTCGTGCGCGTTTCGCGATGCACCTGCGGGAACGTGCGAGAGAGCAGGTGCGAACGACCTTCGCGACGACGTTTACGAGCCTCGTGCGTTTCGGACCCTTCGTGCGGAATTTTCAAGCATTTTGATCGCGACGACGCAGGTGCGGCGTCATTCCGGGCGGAAAGATCATTCCGCCGGGGACTAACGGTACCGCGCGCGCGCGCGCGGACACATGCATGACGCGTGTATATAATCGAGATTTCATGGCCGATTCGTGCTCATTAGCGACCGCTACCGATGCTGATTAAACGGCAATTGCGAACGGTCAATTGAAAATCGTCGATGAGATTCGCCCGTTGCACATAAATCTGTGACGCGCTCGGTGTACAGCGACGCGTGACATTTTATACATACGTGTCGCCAAGTACCGTCGATTATTGCGTGTATCGGTAATTTCGCAGCGATTCGAACCAATTGCTGCACATTTTATATCATCGATCATTCAATTCTCGTCGCTATCGAAATTTTTATGTCGGATTTTGTGGAAATCGCGTGTCGAGACGAACAAAATCGAATCGCGGTTTATTTCTCGACGAGAGAGCGATATTTTATATCTCTTGCATTTTTTAATCTCTTTGCAACGACGAAAAAAGTGCCTATTGTGAACCGGTGCGCGTTCACGTCGGAAAGCACCGGCGTAAAACGCAAACGCGAGAAATGTAGCTATCGTGGACAGGAATCGGCAAATAACGATGACAGTGACGATTGCGATCGATCGGAAAGAAAAAAGTTGACAAAGAAAGAAGAAGAATTCGCGAAAGAAGGCCGTTGCCTCTCACCTGCGTGCGCGCGATTTTATTTGCTAGAAAGTCCGTTCCGAGATAGATAGAGAACGTCTACAACACGAAATTTTAACGCAATCGTTGCCGGTTAAAGACATGCGACTCCTACTACTGAACTGACATTTAGACATTGCTAAATGGTCGTCTTACTACTAGCCGTACGCGGTTCATCATCTCTCTCTCGAATGTGGCTTTTCAAACGGATAGTCATTTAATTATCCCGCGACTCGGAGAGCCGCGAAGGAACATTTGAATTTTATTCCGAGAAATCGAGGCGTACATCATCTCTCGAACGTCGCATTAGCTACCCTTTGTTGATATTCATGTAATGCGCGTCTTAAATTTCTCGTTAAATCGCGAACTTCGTTTGAAAAAAAATGCGGATTCAATTATAGCGGACATAATACGCGATTGCGCACGATCCCGCAATGATAAATCGCAGTTTTGATTGACGTGTCACACATTGCTGACATTGCCGAGTGTCGATATTTCGATATTTAATAATAATAATAATAGTGTGCTCAAAGGTTACTTTAATATTTCGCAATCTCTCAATTTAAATCTCACTAAATTTAAAAAGGCGTGGTAATTCTTCATTGAGAAAAAAGAGCTGTGTGAGCGATTAAATTTCACTTTTCGATCTATCGAAACACGCGCAAACTTTAGAAATAATCTCCGAAACGGCAGTGCGGTTTCGACGAGAAAAGCGCGGCCGTTTTGAAAAATCAGTAGTAATCTGCGACATTTTCCCGACCGACACCCCGGTCTTTCCTTGAGACAGCCCTGCGACACGTAAATTGCGCGCGCAGCCCGGTTTGAAATTCGTGGCGCGCCGCCGAGGATCCTTGGGGGCTGCCGTACCTCTCTCGCCTTTCGTTCCACGTCCGTTCGTTCGTTGGGTTCGTTCGCTCTCCGCCCGTTCGGCTCCGGTCGTGGAAGTCGATGCTAAGGTCGCTGTCGCGCGAGAAGGGAGTGTCGGGCGCCTGTCTCGCCGCCCTCCCGGTCCTCCCAGTGATCCCGAATTTCCTCGCGAGCACACGCGCCTCTTCCCGCTCGAGGATGTCGCTCCCGAGTCCGGTCTCGCCCGTCCGGCATTATTCGCTCGCGAGTAACACGTAGAAACGTCCTTGAATTCGCGTGCGCGCGCGCGCGAGCAAAAAGAAGGAGAGAGAGAGAGAAAGAGAGAGAAAAAGTCAAAATCAAAACACACACGGGAAACACGTTTAGTTTTTATTTTGCCTCTGAGACTTTGTGTTTTCGTCGTGCCGGAGTCTTGTGCCGCGCCGAATGCGCCAGTATTCGCCAGTGTTCGTCGTGGCGAGTATACGCGAAGACTATCGATTGCCGAGTGCATTTAAACGGCTGCGCGTGGAGAATCGTTAGTAAGAAGAAGCTTCTGCTGGCTTCTCCTTATTGTCGTCGTCTCCTATAATCATCGCGTACGTTGTGTGTACACACACACACACATACATATATCAGGCATCGCGCGAGCGAAAGGGATCGTCTGTTTTACGACAACCTGTTTACTCGATTGATCAATCGACACATCATCTCTCGTCGCCGAGAGAATACATTGCATACGTGACATACTTGAGGATCGTCGATCGCGTTAGCCGCGTGTATGTGTGCGAGTGTGTGCAGAGAAACAGTAAAAGAGCGATATATCCTTGACACTATGACGAGACGTACAAAGAGCCGGTAGTTCGTGGTTGGCAGGGATGTCCTCGTGACATGTTACCCCGTGACCTTGGCTGGCGCAACTACAACGTCCTCCGTGGAGAGGGTCGTCTTCTGGTGCGCGGATCGAGCGGGAATACGAACAGTCGATCGGCGTCCTTCAGCCCGCGCGAGATCGAGTACCGCCTGCTGCCGCTGGTGCAGGTCAAGCCCGACTTCGTGATCCCATATGTGCTTTGCTGGAGGGTGCCGGGCGCGATTCACCGCATTCAGATCAATCCGTCGATTGTCCATCACCACCATCATCATCACCACCACCATCATCAGCAGCAGCATCAGCATCAGCATCAGCATCAGCAGCATCAGCATCAGCATCAGCAGTTTCAACAGCATCGTCAGCGCCGACGACATTTCGAAGGAACGTCTCGAACACGTCCCGCGCCACCGCCTTCGACGGAACATCGTCGTCCCGCGTACGGCGCGCAGCGTGACATCCTTGTAGATTCTGGTATGGAAACAAGGTGAGTGATCTCCGCGCGGAGACGCTGGCCTGCGGTAAATCGCGCGAGTTTTTGAGGTCTGCGGTCTTCGGCCTTCGGGTGTGTCGCGTGCTGTTAGATCTCGCGGTCTCTCGTTGTGGGCTAATTTTCTCTCGTTACTTTGAGGCGGCCGATAATTGAGGATTAAAATTGTATACTTTGAAAAGAAATAGCAATTTTCATCAGACTATATTGAATTGTAAGAATTATTGCAAATTCTAACTTAATTAGGAATAAGATATTTTATGTACCTCGAAGTAAGCATTATTTTGCAATAAAAAAAACTATATTTTGAAAAATATTTTCTTCAGTGAAAGTGTTTTTAAATGAAAGCTATTTACATATGCGCAGAGTAATTAATTAAAATTTTGTTTTCAACTAAGCTGATGGTAAATATGTTTTTGCAATTTATCGGTAGATCTGTTGCAGAGTGTGTTTTAATTTTTTCAATGAAACACTTTCACGAGTAAACGCGGACACGCATGGCGGCGCGCCGTAACTCTCCTCGGTCGCCGTCATAATGTGGTCGTAACCTTTTTGGACACGCGACGCGTCAGTTCATTGCCCCCGCGCCGTTACCCTTTGTGCGCGCCGCACCCTCCTCTCTCTCTCCTCTCCCTTTCTCTCTCTCTTTTCTCTCGCCGCAAAATAGAAACATTTCGTCGTCACCTGAGAAATCCGACGCCGTGCGCCATTCTGAACGTGCCCTCTTCAGAATGGGGCGACGTCTATTTCGCTCGATTAGCATGTCGCGCAGTCAACATCGGCGTCTCGGTTATCGGATATTCATTGTGCAATTACATCGTGTTCGACGTTGAAACGCCACTCTCTCCGCAATTGAAGGCGCAGAATCTACACGACGAGGAAACGTTCCGAAATTCGCCGCAAATTGCACGTCGCAATTGAAGCAATTTCCAAAGGAGCTTCCAACGCAACGTAAATTCCTATACGGAAGTAACGATGCGAGAGCGACGAGGAGAGAGCGTGCACGACGCGACGTTAATGCATCGCGATGCGCTTCTCTCTCGTACGCCGAGAGATTTTTCTCTTTGCTGCTTTCTAAAAAAAAAAAAGAAAAAAAATATCTCGTAAACCACTCTCTCGTCTGTACTGTCGGCAGCAGTACTCCTTTCTGCCTCACGATCTCCCGCTGTTGCTGACAAGCTTTTTATATACATATATATGTATATATATATATATATATTTATGTATATACATGTATAACCACACCGGATCATCCTACGAAAATCTAAATTTATGTATCGCGTTGTTGCACAAACCAAATTTCAGCTTCGCGCAGCGTGTACTTTATTACTCGTCGTTTATCATTTATCAGGGGTTTGTTTTTTTTTGTTTTTTTTTGTCATTCCTTCGCTTTTGCGTTTGCAGAAAATACAGTGACGCAAAAAGCGGGAAATATCGTCCATTACAATTTCACCGCGCACATTACATTTCGGTTAATACGTCGTAATTTATATTCGAGAATGGGAGGAGGGACGGTGAGCTTTTCTCGCGAGCTTTTCGTCGCGTTCTGGCGATCGCGTTGAAAAACAAAAGAAACCGATTTCTATTTTCACACCGCGCGCGGTGTGAAAAAATCGCGAGGGACATAATTATTCACACGTTCGCCGTTAATTCGCGCCGTAAACCCTTTTTCCTCCCTTTCTCTCTCTCCCCCGTCGTCGTCGGACGCGAATCGATCGATCGTTCGCGAGTGCACGGGGCCATTTGTCACGACGCGAATGTACATCTGTTCCGAGAGCGGGGGGGAGAGGGGAATGTGTAACGCGCGAGATTGCGGCATGTCGAATTCTGCGAAGCGTCGCGTATCTTCGATTTGCTGCGGGAATTCTTTTGTACAGGTTAGGTTACGGAATAAAAAAAAAAAAGAAAGAGGGAGGGACCGACCAACGATAATTCGTAAAAATGGACGAAGTTTGGAAAAAAAAATATGCGAAAAGAGGTGGGTTTTGTGCTGACCGGTTTGCCATTTCCGATTCGTCGAGCTCGGCGACTTCCTATTGCGCGAAGCTTTGCTAGAAGTTGGAATAACATCGCGAAATGTATCCTTCGACCTTTTGCTTTTCACGTCCTGTCGCGCGGACGGACACTTTGATCTCTCGTTAAATTTTTGTGGCAAACGGAGAGAGATCGCACGTTGCTTCGTTTTAAGGATACTTTTCACGGAGTGTGCGCGAAATATTACAGTCGGAATATTCACGACAACCGTCAATTATCTCTCGTGCAAGTAGCTCTTCGATCGCATTTACGTCGCTTCGAGACAGAAATATTTAGTATCATTCGTGTGTATTTTTTCAGCGTTTGATCGCGCATACATACGGTATGGATCCGTCTTCCGAGTGACAGAAATTGTTCGCGAACGATTGCAAAGTGTTCCGCGATGGTCGACGACGAAAGAGTCGTTATCGTTCATTAAAATTAACGTATTGAAAAGCCACACGCGAACGAACGCTCTGTTGTGCACAACGCTCTGTTATTTTTTTTTTTTAATGTCATGTATTTTCCAACGT